GGTGTCCCTGCCCATGGCAGGGGATTGGAATTAGATGATCTTTAAGGTCCCTTCCAACCCAAAACCCTTTCATGATTGCATCAATCTGTGAATGCCAAAGTTCCTCAAATGCCCCTTTGGTTATTGCCAGCAAATGGATTGCAGGCACCTAAAAACTTGAGTTTTTTAATACTCAGGTGTAGTTTTGTCAAAACAAGGATATGTTATCTGCATGGGTGTGACAGAACATTAGAAGCCTGTTCCTATAGTTATACTGGCCTCTCCTGAGGGCTGCTGGGTGGTGGCTGCCAATGCCAGTGCCCTGTGAAGCAGCTTGGTGTCATGGGACTGAGGTCATGCATGAGAAGCCTGATTTAATCTGCAGAGTTTTTTTCCTGTATCTTTGCAAAGCAATTAAAAATTTTAGCAAAATTCAGGGCTAGACACCATTTCCCCTCTCTGAAATTTGAGGTTTTTGTTAAATAATTTATCATTATTCCAAATTATCTAGTAATGGGCAGACAATTACTTATGTGTGTTCAAAGCAATATGCAGAAATCCTCCTTTTACTCATTATGAATTCTTACTTTTGAATTTTAGCTTTACATATGTGTGCTTCTATAGCATTGAAAGCCTATCATAGGCTTACATCAGAATCATTAATTGTCTGATTAGTACTAATTACTTTTTCTGTTCAGCAGAGATGGTTATTCAGTCTTAATCCAAATAACTATTGTAGTGGAATATCCATGTCCCTTGCTGACAAATGGACCAAGGCTTTCTCACTTTTCCTGCATGGTTTTATGACCACATCTATTGCACTATCCTTACTAAAATGCCTACAATTTATTTTCATCTAGACACTTAATGCTCCCTTGCAAACACATGGTAGAACATGGAAGAAAAGTGAGATCTGTGTATTTTGAGGTAGAATCAATCATGTCATATTAACTATATAAATGTTAGGGGTCTTGTCTAAGCCAGTCATGAGGCCAGCTAAGTGAGACAGGATTGCTCAGACAGTCCTTCATTTATCTTAATTGCCTATTTTAGGATTGAATGAATCTGGAATTGATTGTCTCTCTCCATCACTTATAGAAAGAAATTAGAAGCCTAATTTAGACTAAGAGCCTAAGTTTTCAGTGACTAAATGTAGATAAAATGAATCCCAGCCCTGTGGTCCGCTATTGCAAATGGATACTCTCTAGATTACATAGCTCAAAAAGTGAATGATTACTTAGAGCTCTCCTGCCATCACCAAAATTACTTAGAATTTCAGAATAATCAAATGAACAGATCTTTTATTCTTACACCCACATACAAGACTGGAGGAGTGATATGAGATCATCAATAATTGGTTTATGCAGAAAAAAAAAAAAAAAAAGCATGTGCAAAAATAACTGCAGTTCTTTACTCTTGTTTGTCTGTGAACTGGCTGAGGCTCAGGGAGGGTAATTCAGGATTGTCATGGTATTTATGCAAAAGGAGACTGATCCAAGGTTATATCATCAAACTGAAATGTAGTATATCCTAACTGTTACATCCCCTGCTTTCTTAATAAAAATGTTTCTTATGTATGGGTAATTAAGTTATATATGGATAATTAAGTAATGTATGGGTAATTAACCTATGCTGTGGTGCTGGTGTTACAACAATACATTTTTTGAAGCAGAACTAGTACCAGGGCATGACTGACACATCATTTGAAGATGTTGCTGTATTTTCACCTTTTCAACAGACCCTTGCATGTGGTAGATGTCTCTAAAATATCCTTTGTAATTTGTTATACTAAGTGTGGTCACTCCTGCCAGCTGGCTTTTTCCTCATCATTGATTGAAGTGCAACTTTCTCTATTTTCACCTTCTTCATAGCACATTTTTAATGTGGCTAGTTTTATTTAAGCAATTTGTGTGTCATCATTATGTAAATTAAATCTTCTTTAGCTTTAACATAGACTGTTTTAGTAATTGTTAATTTAAGGGGAGAACATGTTTTCCATCATTCCTGGTGAAACATCAGTATTTATTCTTTCAGAAGGGCATAAAGGAGGTGACAAGTTGTTTTTTTTTTTGATATCTTAATAAAGCTTTTATGTATGAATAGACAGGATGCAAATCACAACTATCACTATATGTGAGAATAAGGAATGCAATACAGAATTGAAAGAAAAGGTGAGGTGAAGATTCACAATTTCTTTTCTCTGAGTTACATTTAATTATAAAAAAAAAACCAAGAGGTACTTCAGAAAACAATCTTTCCATGGGCTTACTGGACACTCACCTAAATAGGTTCGTTACAATCTGACGTGGAAGCTAATTTGCCGCTCAAAAGAATTTCTACTATTTTTTTTGGCTTCAGTTATGTTCATAGTAGTTCAAAAGAGTCAGAGACAGAAAACACTGTTTGGACATTTAACCACTGCTTGGTTAAGAGCACTGTTCCATTAAACCTTATATGGCTTTTTTTTTTTGCCCTACTTTTGAATAGTCCATGCTTTTTGGGAAATATTTCACAACATAGACCAGCTGGCATGGTATCATTAGGGTTCAATAAGACCTCCAAGATCCAGTGCATCTTTCAGCTGAATACCACCATGTTCTCTAAAACATATCACAAAGTACCACATCCACTCCTTTTTTGAACGCTTCCAGGGATGGTGACTCTACCACTTCCTTGAGCAGCCTATTCCAAAACTTTTCTTTTGGAATAGGCTCTTTTCACTGAAGAAATTTTCCGTTATTTCCAGCCTGAACCTATCCTGGTGCAACTTGGGACCATTTCCCCCTTGGCCTTGTTGCTTGGGAGAAGAGGCTGACCTCCATCCTGATACAAATACCTTTCAGGAAGTTGTAGAGGCAATAAATTCATCAAAACAATTTATTTATCTTAATTTCTGTGTAGGCTGTATCTTTTTTCCCTTTCATGTCTCCATTCACACCTTTTCTGTTGTATTTGATGGTTCTTCCCTCTGATGCTATTCCTATCCCATTATTTTCAATCTGTGGATAGCCATGCTGAAAATAAGTAGCAGTTTTCATTGTAAATAGCTGAGTAGTGAAGATAAATATTGAGAGAATTGCTTGTTGTGAGTTGCAGAAAAAAACAGACTAATAATGACACAGATCCTTAACCATCTCTTGAGCAGATGTATCTTCAGAGCAGGTTTTGAAATCAAAATATAATGGATAGCAGGAATAAACAAAACAGAAACATATCAAACTCTTCAGACTGATGTCCCTAAATTTGTTGTCTCTGATCCTGACAAGAATAAGCCATCACTAGTAATAATTAAATAAAATTTTGCTCTAACATTGATACAGAGCTTGGAAAACCCCAAATTATTTACATAGATTTATTTTGTTTATTTGGCTGTTTTTATGATGTAATCGGCTTGTTTGAAGAAAAGGATCTGTAAAAAGCTTGAAAACAGGCAGTTTAAGTAGATATTTATTTGACATTCTTATGCCGCAGAGACTCCTACTAGAAATGCAATCTAATTCATTAAAGTTCTGAACCACAGGAGCATAAAATGATGTTGGAATAAAATCCCATAATACTTACTAGTGTTTATAAATGAGTAATGCTGTTAGGAATGCTTCCTGTCATTATCTGCTTGTGAAGGAGGCTGACTGGGATTTCTTCAGATAAAGTATTAAGCCTCTCTACACAGGCTACAGGTCTGATGCAGTGAGTGGTATTAAAGGAAAACAGAGCTGAGATTACTTTCTGTGGAGTGCCATTTTTTACTGTTGCCTCTATTTAAAGTATCATAATGGCCTTAGTGACCGTTTCTTAAACCCCTGTATGTAGAACATTTCATCTTCTTTTATAAAACTCTTTATACTCTAAAATAATGAGTTTGAAGAATCTTATTTGTCCATTGTGTTTACAAGTAAATGGCATTTTAGTCTGATAACATTTAGCGTCTTCACTGCTCTCATTAAATTTGTTTCAGTTAATTTAAATATTTCAGTACAGCTTAAAGCCATGTTGATTTCAGCTGTAATTTCTCATCTGACACATCCATTTCAGTGAAGCTGATCAGTTTTTTGAAAGACCATCTGAAAAAACAGGGAAATAGCTCAATTCTATCTTCAGTTTGAGCACTACTAATGCACTAATGCCCACCAAATTAATGAAATCTTATTTTAATAATTAGGTGAAAAGAGAATACATTTTAATAATTACATAAAAAGAGACCCAGTACCTTCGCATATACCCTATAGGCTAGGAATATCATACTTGGTTACTATAAATATTTGTTTTTATTGGTTAGAATTGAATTGTAACCAAATATGCCATATTTCAGAAAATAGGTAAACATCTTGATTTCATGTTTTCTTATCACTGAATATATTATAATATTTTTAGTGTATCCTGGTTCCTCATTTTTTTTCCTCATTTTTTTTCCTCATGGCAAAATTCTATCTACAATAAAATATTTCTTTTCTAAAGAACCTACAGTTTAGGTGTTTATTGTTCTCAAAACCCAGACTTGTGTCTTCAACTGTTACAGCCACAAGTTTTATAAACTTTTGTATCAGTTCACTGGCTTTCATTTCACAAGAACAGGACCAAAACTGTTTTAACCGTATTTAATATCTTCTTGTTCAATTTGTCTGATAAATAAAAGCTAAAGAGTAGAAATTTGTTCAAGATATCTGACTTGCTGTGTTGTGTTATTTTAAGAAATTTTCCAATTGTCATGACAATATCTTATAGGAATATAAAAAACAAATTGTGTAGTTTTCCAATATTTTAAAAAATTCCAGCCTGTATATCCTAAAGGCATCTACAGAAAATGTAAGACTGCAGAACTGTGAGTTTCTGCACTCATACTTGCTCTGAGATGCTCTTCTGGTGTAAATCTGTGCCTTCACAGAGAACTTGAGAAGCTGCACTGATGTGCTGGAGGTGACTCCAGTGACCTGAGGCATCTGATTCACTGACACCCTCCTCTGACTCCTACATTGCTGTATAAAGCCACTGAGACAAATCTTTTTGGTTTCTCTTTTCCCCAGGCCCCAGCTACTGTTAAGACTGGCAAGAAAATATTATTGACAGATTGGTAAGTCCTTTTGTTTCAAGTTATGATAGTTTATATTTTCAACTTGTTTTGTTTGAATGCTTTTCTTGGATTGTTAAAACCACCATGACACACAGTTTAATTCAAACAGTTATTTGATTCATTATAATACAGGCAGAACTTTCAATTAGGGTTTCAAAAACAAATCTTTGCCATTGCAAATGGGTGTTCATATTGAAGGAAAGTGATTTAGCTTTTACCATTTTCTTTTGCAACATAACTTGGTTTTAAGTCAACTGAGCAAGTCTCTGAACATGTTGGAGATTAGGCAACAACTTTTCTCAGTGGTGCAGTTCATCTGTCATTCCTAAAACTCCTAGTCTCTGGTGGCAGAAGTATATGTGATTTCAGTGGTATGGTTCATACACAGAGTATCAAATCTGATGTATTTTAGAGAAGATGTCAAGATATCAGGGTGTTTTTCAGGAGCAGGTTCTCTTCCATCCCAGTCAAAGGAGAGCTTCTATCAATTTCTGTGGTGGCTGGGTCATTCTGCTTTAAAGTTGACACAAAAAAGTTCCTGACTGTTAATGCAGTTATTTGTTATACTCAAACTATTTGTATTATCTCCAATAAATTTTTTTTCAAGTGGAGTTAGCCCTGAAGGAGTTAGCCGTTTATCTCCGTGCAGTTTTACTCCTATATTATATGTTGATGTAATGAAAACTAGACCATCAAGCTGATATTTTATTATGTAACAGAAGCAATCTTTAAAACACTTAGCTAATAACATATCTAATAATAAATGAGAGTCCACAAATATATGAACCCAATTATTTCTGCAGGTCAATATAATATACAGTATGTTACCATTCCCTAGTACAAACTTGTTATATTAAGCTACTCTTGTACCTATAACTTGAAGTATCCATCATTTCAAGGCATTAATTCAAAAATAAAATTATACATGCTTTGGACAATCCACCAAATCAGCTTGCCTATGAATTCTTGATAAAATACTTGCATTAAAAAGCATTGTGTGATTTTACTCTGAAAGATGTACTCTCTAGTAAATAGATTTTATAGAAGCAAAACAGATGCAACAAGTTTTACAAAAAACTTGCATCTAGTTCTATGAAACTGCCACAATTGTGGAGTATTTTTATTTGAAATTGTATTGTTTTATTGACCATTTTAGAGCTCTTTTAGTGTGAAATGATTGGTGAAGCAAGTCAACCAAATCAATTGAATTAAATTATATACATGTTAAAAATACACTAAGGTGAAAATGAAAGTAAAACAGATGTCTCTACTAATGCATACAGAAATGCCATCAGGAAGATGCTTATTTTGTCATTTTTTCCATTAAGTTTTGCATCTCTATAGAAGAAGATTGCAATCTTAAACTTATCTTGAGGAAAGATTAATTTTATATGAAAATATTAAATGTTACCAAGAATGAGTCCTCCCCATGTACTTTTATGTGTTGTTGTTCTGGTTTTCTAAAGCAATCATTATGATTGAGCTGTACCACAGAGTTGAATAGAATTTTTTGTCTTACACTGTGTACAGACCTGGAGCTGGCAAGCATTTTCCCTTGTGGCAGTCCCAGGTGAGCAGAATCCTATTTTCTATGCTGAGGAGGCAGCTGCTGGAAATGTCACAGTTCATTTTGGGGAAATCACACCACTGACCAGAAATCAAATCAAGCAGCAAATAAATATAGTGTTATTGGCTTGTTCTCTGCCTCTCCAGACTGCACTGTGTTCACCTTCACGTTATAGGCAGGTACTGGGTCCCAGTGCAGCTGTGGTACCTATGCATGAGGAAGCTGGAAAACAACTTTTGAAAGACTTTAGGAAGGAACAGAAAATATTGCCAGAATAAGAAGGTTCCTTTGAAAAAAGTGATGTTTATGTAAGAACATTGCACCTTACTCTTGTTGAGCAACTTTTAGGACCTGGTTAAGAAGGTGTCGAAACTATATGCCACAGATCATCTTCCCTAACACTATTTTCATCCAGCATAATTTAGAGAAGTCTGTGGCAGAGCATTATCCTGATTCTACAACCTCTTCTTGTCGAATTAGATTTTATGATCCATCTGTGTAAATAAACTAGAAAGGACCTAGGTTGTGTCATATACTTTGTCATGCATTGTGTGCTTCCAACAAACATCCACCATGGTCTGAAGACTATCATAAACCACAAGCCACTCTAACCTGGAAGCATGGTTGAAATTATTCTGTTTTACCACAGAAAATAATTAATCTGCACAGAGAAACGTGCTGCGCAGGCTGGCCTCAGTAGTTACAAGTAGCCATTGATCATTGTTTAAGTGATGGAGATGTACCCATAGGTATGGATTTAGAGAAAGGGTCAGAGCCTGATTCTAGCCCTCGCTGTTTCCAACATTTCTACTATAGCTCTGCTCAAATAGTTTTAATGGTATCTTTGGATAAAAATTGTTGTAGAGCTCTGCAATAATTTTGGCGTAACTAGGTAACCATTTCAGATTTTATCTCATTAATTTTGGTAGAGTTGCTGTATGCTACAGCTCATGTCAGTTCTTGAAGCAGAAAAATGCTATTTCATATGATAAGTTAAGCCTGAATTCATTTTAACTAACATAGAAATCCTAAGTGAAGAGTAAGCTCTTTTCCGAGCTAGTTTTACCTACTTAGCTTAGCCTTGCAAAAAAACATCTCCAGAGGACAGTTCATTCTACCTCTGACATGAATGACACTGGAATTGTCTCTCACTCCTCACTGGCATTCAGATAAATAGAATGATTCTGAATACTTCAACTAGAACTGCTCCAAAACCTGACATGGTGATTTGCTATATTTAAGCACATCAGTATATTCATAAATAGTTTCTGTTTCTCATTTTCTATTTGAACATTACTAGCTTTGTTCACCTTTTTAAGTAATTTGTAAGTTCAGGTTGGAACAGAAACTTGTGTATTGTCTCAAAATAGATTGATTTTCAAGAATTATATTTATTTCCTCATTTTGTGTAAAGGGTCAGTGACTGTGTTTTCTTAAGATGACTTAACAACTGATAAGCACTTTTTGATATCATACTGTAGTAATTCACCATATGCAATATGAAAAAAGAAAAATAAATTTTTTTGAAACATCACTGATAGAATTTCAACATACACTATTAGAAAATATTTGCACATCAAGAAAACACTAACATTAGCCACTGTTTCTACTGGGAGGCTTAGAATTTTATAGCCTTTTGTGATGTTTTTCAGAAACAGAGGGAACTACTGTTGTGACCATGATGAGTCCTAATTTTCCTGTATTAACCTTGGACCATCCATGCCCAGTGTTTTGTTTTTAAATTACTTTTTCCACTAAAGTATATTCTACATCTCTATCTCTTATTAACATTTGCCAATCTTTTGTTCAGTTTTTGTCCCTTTGGTGAAAGCCTTGAGCAGTTTCATTGGTAACAATTCAAAATAATAACATTTTAGTGTAGATAATTCCCAAATGAGTAAAAAGGAACTCAGGCACCCAATTAAATAAATTCAGATGGGCAGAAACTTCTGGAGATAATCTGTTCCAAACCTGTACTTAGCTCAGACTATCTTCAAGGACAAGTTTGATTCTTCAGTATTTTGTTCAGGTGAGTTTTGCTTATCTTCAGGGATGGAGATAAGACAACCTGGGCAACCTTTTCCAGTATTTCATCACTCTAATTATGCACTGTTTTTTCCTCATAGTTAATTAAAATTTCTGTGCTTCACCTTGTTGATATTGCCTATTCCTCTTCCATTGTACATCTTTAGGTAGAATCTGATTCCACTTTCGTTATAAACACAGTGAATACCATTCCCATTCTCTATAACCTATATATCAAAATAGTTACCGCATGCAGATTTGAAATGCTTTTTCCAGGAAAAGTGCTATCTCTAAAATAAGGTATATGTACAGAGATTTTATTTATAAGTGGAATGAGGTGATTTTCTGATACATCTGCAAGAACCTGTGAACAGGAGTTATAGGTGATGAAACTGATGAGGGATGATAATCATACATTATTTTAACCTGCTAAAAAAAGCAACATTGAAAAATGATCAAGTCAATATTACAAATACAACTTTCTGATTTTCAAGATGACTTTATAAAGTTGTCAGCCCTACAGAGTGCATTCAGGAAGAAAAATATAATAATCAGTAAGCAACTCAGAAGAGACAGGTTCAGTGCTGTGTGTGCATTTGTAAAGCTATGTTAGTGGCGGAAATAGATTTTATATCCTGCTGCTTCTTTGTTACATTTACAAACACTAGCGGAAAAAGTGTAGTTGTTAGGAGTGTCTGACCTAAAAAGTGTGGCTGATTAATGCTGAATCTTGTCCATGAAAAGCAGCAGCAAGCAAGTCTATTGATCAATATACAGGAAATATTGTTTACAGTGCAAAGTGGAATAATATATTTTGTAAAAGACAATACCATCTTTATCTGGTGCACTTAGTGCACTAATTTCAAAGAAACAAGGATAATTCATGTGCAGATGCAGCCTGCATTTGGATAATATGATGGTCTACTAAAACTTCATAGTCATTTTTGGGGCAGAGCTCTTTGAGGTGGTGTTTCTGTCCCAGCTTTCTAGGGCGGAAGTCATCATAAGGCCCCAAGATAGGTCCTTTGCGCCTTATTTTGACAAGGTAGCTGACTATGATATTTGAGGTAAATACTCCTCAAATCTAAATCATTCTTTCCCTGCTTCTCTCTAGATTACTGGAAAGATCGGGGATTTTGAAAGACAGCTCTGGTCTTTCTAAATATTGTGACATCAGAAAAGTTCTCTGGGTGAATTTCAGTCTGGGTGATTGATATTTGTCCAGAATCCACTGTCATTCAAAAAAAGTGAAGTTCACAGCATGTTTTAAAAATGCCTTCCTTTTCTGTAAAAAACCTAAAATGTAAATATAAATAATATTTATGAGTTTAGGATCTAGTCCAGAGACATTCTATGAAACAGCTAAGTAAACTCTAAGTAAACTCCTGTTTACTATATTCATGTTTAA